CATATTAAAGCGTCTTTGGTGTTTTCGGAAACCGAGGGGTTTTGATGTCATTGGCAGGCGACACAATGACACAATAGACACGCTCCGTGGCACTAGTTAAAATTGCTTATTTCTCTGGATTTAAACATTCTTCGAAACATTTGGGATAATGTAAGTACACAAGTCAGCAAAATATATAACACTGTTCTAGTGGTTTTTGGATATTTTAATAAAAAAATCTTACAAATTGTGCCTTTAAGGAAGAGGGGGCAGATGGCAAAAAGCTAAAGGTTTACTATGGTAGTATGAATGTTTCACAATGACAGTTACATTTCCCACGGATTATTAGTTCGGCTTTTGTTGTCTACATAAAAGATATAGTAAATTATGCCAACAAATTAGTTCAGCAACACTCCTAAAAGATAACGGTTCTTTAATGGCATGTATGGTTCCAGTAAGAACCTTTAAGATCCATGGAATCTTTCCATTCCACAAAAGATTCTTTATAGTGGAAAAAGGTTCTTTAGATTATTAAAATGATTTTCACACTAAGGAATACAATTCTGTTTTGATATCATCCGCTTCTTCAAGCTCCACACAGGGTTAAGCTCTCAAGAGGATCTTGAGGAAGGAGTAGCTAAAGAAACTAGCAGGTGGGAGAAATCCAGAAAAGATTTCAGTGGAAAAACATCATCGAGAAGAGGTGGGAGTGTAGCCATAAGGTAGACCTGATCCTCTGATGGGAAACAGAGGCCCAGTTCTATTCACACCCTACTACCAAAAGTCTGAAATGATTGCCTTAAAGGCCCCCAGTCTGGGCTGACTATACGAATGGAGAATTACAAGATCACTCAAGGCAAAATATAAGGCTGTGCCCACTCAAAAATGACGCATTTATGGATAAATCTGAATGAAAGATCATTTATGTTGTATTGTGGGTGTCTTTAAACAACACAACACAACATTAACATTAACAGTCTCATCTGATTCTAAATCTGATGGCTTGCATGTCATAAATTTACATGAGGCTGTCTGAGGCATGATTTGCTTTTTCCTGTTGACAGAGCCCAGAGTATCTTGTCTAGAGATTGCATAAATAAACTCTCTCTGCTTCTCAAATGTCTGCGAGAGTTAATGAGTGCCTAACCGCTGATACGGGGAGCCATCTATAAACAATCAAGAGCTCTGCCCTATCATTTAAGCCTCCCACTGCGCTTAACTTCATTTGCTTAATATCGGCTGGCTTTAGTAAAGTGCAGTCTATTTCTAATTAGACTTAAAAGGACCTGAATTACACAGTGAAAGCATTACAAGTAGTGACTGGTTCAATCATACGATTTCTAATGCAACGGAAGACCAAAATCTTGTGTAACTTGTGAGCTGGAACTTAAACCAATGAGTTGTGAAAGGGTAAAGGTGTTTGTTGGTAGAGATGGTATGCGGGTGATGGATGACAGGCTGGTATTTCACAGATCACAAGGTCATGTGTATAGTTCCTGACTGATGTCTAGCTAGTCCAACTCAGGGGGGAGCAGAGTCGGAGGTTGATCTGAATTTACATTAAGTCATCAAGTCTGCTGTGCCAGTATTGGGAATAAAAACACAATTTTACAAAATGTTAGTGCACGTCTTTTGGCTCTGACATCAGTGTACTCCTAAAAGTTGATGAAACTACCAGATATATGCATTTAAAAATATACATTCTTTCTCTTACAGAGAACCAAAAAGTGATGCCTCATCTTATCAGGAAGGGAATATAGAAATCTGTAATAAAATGCTGCCTGAGACTGAGATAAGAACATCCAAATCGTATGTACAACCTGCAAAGAAGTAGTCACAGAAAGTTGTCACGGAAAACCTGGAAGTATTTAAAAAAAAATTAATTGTGAAATTAAGCTCATCAGTTAGAAATTACTATTTGTGCATGCAATGTCTTGAAAATAATTTTTCATCACTAACAACTTCAATGGAAATTCATGTTTTAATAGGAAATGGAAAGAAAATTGTGTTGCCAAATAATTTCATGAGGTCTAACACAATTAATTATTTTATCCTTATATTTGGGTTCACTGACGAGATGTTGAGCAAAAAAAGTCCTTTGAAAATCAAAGCTTTGATATTTTAACTGTTAAATTTTTTAATACTATTTTTAAAATTTTAATTATTTAATAAATGATGGTTCTGGGTGCTTTTCCTTCTTATACCTACCTCCTGTCCTGAAATATAGAAAAAAACAAATCTGGGATAGCAAAAAAGACAAAATTCATGACTAGACTCTCCTTAAAGGACCTGCTTCCATACTAATACTAGTTCATCCGTTTCTGCACAAAACTACCGTTTAAGTGCAAGTGAAACCTTTTCAGGCTGAGCACTCATTAATGAAACGGAAGCCTTTCTTTTCATATAAAACTGACAAAAAATCCTCTCTTTAATACCATCACAGATAAGTGGAGGCCTACATTTCTCAAAGCTTGCACACACACCAAAGACATTTTACAGGACCAGAATTAAAATATTCTCCAGTGACTGTTGACTATATGTTATAAATAAACATTGGGCTACATTTCTATTCTCACAACACAAGTCTTGTGACCTTTGACCTCTTTGAGGAGTATATAGCAGTTTCTCTGTCACATGCTTTTAATTAGAAGGTGCTTTGAATAAATTGTTGTTCTTCTGAATAACTCCTTTGAGGGCGAGGCATTTAGTGGAGGATACCATTCCGAAAACTTTCATTCTTTTGAAGGCTTTCTTTTGAAGATGGGTTTAAACTCTTTGACCATACGACCCACTTTCTCACTATAAGACTAATGTTAAGATCATTAAGCTATCTCAGTCTGTAGGCCTACGGCTTCATATTATTATCTGCAATTTGCTCCCAGCTGCTAGATTGAGTCCGTATGGTTAATGCCACTGTAATTAATCTTTATGTCACTCAGCATTAAAGTTATGATTTTAAATACACCTGATATTCAAGACTACTTTAAATGATGTGGCCTTCAAGTCATGTTGAAATAAGTCTTTTGCTCAGCAAGGTAAAAATACAACAAACAACAGTAATTAAACAACAGTAATATTGTAAAATATTATTTCAATTCAAAAACTAATTTCTACTTTGATATATTGTAAAATGTAATTTATTCCTGTGCTGAATGTTCAGCATCATTACTCCAGTCACATGATCCTTCAGAAATCATTCTAATATGCTGATTTCCTGCTCAAGAAACATTGATTATTATGATCAATGTTGAAAACATTTGTGCTGCTTAATATTTTTGTGAAAACCATGTTATATTTTAAGGATTACTTGATAAGTATATAAGTTCAAAAGAACAGCATTTATTTGAAATATACTTTTTATTGTACATTTGTCACTTTAGAATAAAAGTATTTAAAAAAAAAGGGGGGGGGGTGCCAATGCATTTCATAAGAACTTTTTTTTGTGATCGCACATCTGAAGAGGATTCTTAATTTATTCATTTACACAGTTGTTGTCATGATCAGCAGTGAGGAGCATCATTCACTTTATAGCAGAATGCAATTTACATCCTCCATCTGCTCTCCATCACATCTCAGTATCTAACAAACTGTGTGTTTGAGTCAGATCCACTGCAGCTATTATTCAACTACTCGAGGATTTGTTTTTCTAGAGATTCATTAGATAACTCAGGATCGCAGATGTGGAGTGAATAAACAGGATCATGTTTAGTAACTTTTTGTGTTGTCTATATTTATAGACAATCTGATATTACTACTACTTTTGTGGCCTTTATCTTGTTTCTTGTCCAGATGACGGTATCTAAATATGGTGCACAGTTCCGGGGGAATTCCCAGCATGACGCTCTTGAATTCCTGCTCTGGCTTCTGGACCGCCTCCATGAGGACGTCAACTCATCTTCAGCAGTATCTTGTCTAGAGATTGCATAAATAAACTCTCTCTGCTTCTCAAATGTCTGCGAGAGTTAATGAGTGCCTAACCGCTGATACGGGGAGCCATCTATAAACAATCAAGAGCTCTGCCCTATCATTTAAGCCTCCCACTGCGCTTAACTTCATTTGCTTAATATCGGCTGGCTTTAGTAAAGTACAGTCTATTTCTAATTAGACTTAAAAGGACCTGAATTACACAGTGAAAGCATTACAAGTAGTGACTGGTTCAATCATACGATTTCTAATGCAACGGAAGACCAAAATCTTGTGTAACTTGTGAGCTGGAACTTAAACCAATGAGTTGTGAAAGGGTAAAGGAGTTTGTTGGTAGAGATGGTATGCGGGTGATGGATGACAGGCTGGTATTTCACAGATCACAAGGTCATGTGTATAGTTCCTGACTGATGTCTAGCTAGTCCAACTCAGGGGGGAGCAGAGTCGGAGGTTGATCTGAGTTTACATTAAGTCATCAAGTCTGCTGTGTCAGTATTGGGAATAAAAACACAATTTTACAAAATGTTAGTGCATGTCTTTTGGCTCTGACATCAGTGTACTCCTAAAAGTTGATGAAACTACCAGATATATGCATTTAAAAATATACATTCTTTCTCTTACAGAGAACCAAAAAGTGATGCCTCATCTTATCAGGAAGGGAATATAGAAATCTGTAATAAAATGCTGCCTGAGACTGAGATAAGAACATCCAAATCGTATGTACAACCTGCAAAGAAGTAGTCACAGAAAGTTGTCACGGAAAACCTGGAAGTATTTAAAAAAAATTAAATTGTGAAATTAAGCTCATCAGTTAGAAATTACTATTTGTGCATGCAATGTCTTGAAAATAATTTTTCATCACTAACAACTTCAATGGAAATTCATGTTTTAATAGGAAATGGAAAGAAAATTGTGTTGCCAAATAATTTCATGAGGTCTAACACAATTAATTATTTTATCCTTATATTTGGGTTCACTGACGAGATGTTGAGCAAAAAAAGTCCTTTGAAAATCAAAGCTTTGATATTTTAACTGTTAAATTTTTTAATACTATTTTTAAAATTTTAATTATTTAATAAATGATGGTTCTGGGTGCTTTTCCTTCTTATACCTACCTCCTGTCCTGAAATATAGAAAAAAACAAATCTGGGATAGCAAAAAAGACAAAATTCATGACTAGACTCTCCTTAAAGGACCTGCTTCCATACTAATACTAGTTCATCCGTTTCTGCACAAAACTACCGTTTAAGTGCAAGTGAAACCTTTTCAGGCTGAGCACTCATTAATGAAACGGAAGCCTTTCTTTTCATATAAAACTGACAAAAAATCCTCTCTTTAATACCATCACAGATAAGTGGAGGCCTACATTTCTCAAAGCTTGCACACACACCAAAGACATTTTACAGGACCAGAATTAAAATATTCTCCAGTGACTGTTGACTATATGTTATAAATAAACATTGGGCTACATTTCTATTCTCACAACACAAGTCTTGTGACCTTTGACCTCTTTGAGGAGTATATAGCAGTTTCTCTGTCACATGCTTTTAATTAGAAGGTGCTTTGAATAAATTGTTGTTCTTCTGAATAACTCCTTTGAGGGCGAGGCATTTAGTGGAGGATACCATTCCGAAAACTTTCATTCTTTTGAAGGCTTTCTTTTGAAGATGGGTTTAAACTCTTTGACCATACGACCCACTTTCTCACTATAAGACTAATGTTAAGATCATTAAGCTATCTCAGTCTGTAGGCCTACGGCTTCATATTATTATCTGCAATTTGCTCCCAGCTGCTAGATTGAGTCCGTATGGTTAATGCCACTGTAATTAATCTTTATGTCACTCAGCATTAAAGTTATGATTTTAAATTCACCTGACTTTCAAGACGTCTTTAAATGATGTGGCCTTCAAGTCATGTTGTAATCAAATAAGTCTCTTTTGCTCAGCAAAGCTGCATTTATTTGATAAACACTACAAACAAAAACAGTAATATTGTGAAATTTTATTGCAATTAAAAAATTTTTTTATAAGAATATATGTTAAAATGTAATAAATTCCTGTGATGCAAAACTGAATTTTCAGTATCATTACTCCAGGCTTCAGTGTCACATGATCCTACATAAATCATTCAGACATGCTGATTTGCTGCTTAAGAAACATTTCTCATTATTATTAATGTTGGAAAGTTGCGCTGCTTAATATTTTAGTGAAAACCATGTCAACCATGTTATTTTAAGGATTACTTGATAAATATAAAAGTTCAAATGAACAGTGTTTATTTGAAATAGACTTTTATTATACGTCTTTGTCACTTTTGAATTAAAGTATAAATTTCTTTAAAAAAAAATCTTACTGAACCCAAACTTTTGATTAGAAACATATTGAATGAAAATAAATGTGCAAATAATATTACTACTGTAAAGCAAACCAAAAAAACTGCTGCTGGTATCTGCCAATGCATTTCATAAGAACTTTTTTTGTGATCCCAGATGTGATAATTTACACAGTTGTTGTCATGATCAGGCCTACGGCTTCATATTATTATCTGCAATTTGCTCCCAGCTGCTAGATTGAGTCTGTATGGTTAATGCCACTGTAATTAATCTTTATGTCACTCAGCATTAAAGTTATGATTTTAAATACACCTGATATTCAAGACTACTTTAAATGATGTGGCCTTCAAGTCATGTTGAAATAAGTCTTTTGCTCAGCAAGGTAAAAATACAACAAACAACAGTAATTAAACAACAGTAATATTGTAAAATATTATTTCAATTCAAAAACTAATTTCTACTTTGATATATTGTAAAATGTAATTTATTCCTGTGCTGAATGTTCAGCATCATTACTCCAGTCACATGATCCTTCAGAAATCGTTCTAATATGCTGATTTCCTGCTCAAGAAACATTGATTATTATGATCAATGTTGAAAACATTTGTGCTGCTTAATATTTTTGTGAAAACCATGTTATATTTTAAGGATTACTTGATAAGTATATAAGTTCAAAAGAACAGCATTTATTTGAAATATACTTTTTATTGTACATTTGTCACTTTAGAATAAAAGTATTTAAAAAAAAAGGGGGGGGGGTGCCAATGCATTTCATAAGAACTTTTTTTTGTGATCGCACATCTGAAGAGGATTCTTAATTTATTCATTTACACAGTTGTTGTCATGATCAGCAGTGAGGAGCATCATTCACTTTATAGCAGAATGCAATTTACATCCTCCATCTGCTCTCCATCACATCTCAGTATCTAACAAACTGTGTGTTTGAGTCAGATCCACTGCAGCTATTATTCAACTACTCGAGGATTTGTTTTTCTAGAGATTCATTAGATAACTCAGGATCGCAGATGTGGAGTGAATAAACAGGATCATGTTTAGTAACTTTTTGTGTTGTCTATATTTATAGACAATCTGATATTACTACTACTTTTGTGGCCTTTATCTTGTTTCTTGTCCAGATGACGGTATCTAAATATGGTGCACAGTTCCGGGGGAATTCCCAGCATGACGCTCTTGAATTCCTGCTCTGGCTTCTGGACCGCCTCCATGAGGACGTCAACTCATCTTCAGCCCTACCCAATGGGAATAACAGAAGCAAATCAAGAGGCAAGGTAAGAGCGAGCATGTCTCAGAACCTGCCCTGGGCTTGAAACAGAAATGATGCAATATTCAATCTCAGCAATTGGCTCAAAATTAGATTTTTTTCCTCATGTTATGATATATTATTAAACCACAAATCATCACCTGAAATATCTGCAATATGAGGACTAGCATGAGTTACCAACGGCTCTTCTAAACCCCCATATAGCCAAACAGCTGTTACCTTCACCATTACAGTGACTTGGCAAGGTCAGAGAGTCTCGTCTACACACCCCTGCCACCCGTAAACAACACATCTGTTTATGAAATATGGAGATGCATGCCAAGCCCCATAGCGTGCATTGAGCTACAGTGGTCTTCTTGTGCATAACCTTGGAATTGCCCAGATGAATAGCTTTTCACAGTGGCTGGGATCTTCACAAGGCGAGATTCATGGGGATTGGGGCTGAAATTGATTTGAAACCCATAGCGTTTCGCAGGTATACATGTGTGCAAAGGTTTCCACTCATCTTGGACCTCAAATCACATCACCATGGCAGCAAGTTGCAGAATCCTCTGCAATTATTGCCACTCAAGGAGAAACATGCACTTGTTGTTTATTACATTAACTTTACACTGCATATAATAGAGAAATCTAATTTTGTAATGTCAAATTATTAGGAAAAAAACATCTATTTACTGTCTGAAATTAGGGCAAGAAGGTTTTCATACATTAGCCATTATTACTGCACCGCATTTCCACTAGTGTTTAAACACAGCAGAGCCCCAATAATGGAGAAGAATGTTTTCTTTAATAAAGCCACTGCCTTATTTAGAAACCTTTTGTCAGGCAGTTTCAAACAACTGGGGGACAAAGATATATTTTTCTCCATGCAGTGTGCTAGCTATAGAAGGCTGAACATTTCCAGAAATCTGCTTTCATGCCAACTATCAGAGCTCTTCTTGTCTGAAGAAAGCCTATGCTATTTTTAAAATCACAAATGTACAGTAAGCAGCTGAAATTTTTTTAACTTTACAGGAGCTTTGATTAGTGATGGCTTCTGAGGTCAGATGAGATCTTTTGGCAACAAACATCAGAGATTGAAAAAAAGCTAATCACCACTGTAAAGTACTGAGTTGTTGTCTACCAAAAATCATTTGGACATAAATAAATAAATAAAAAACATATCACGATATATAGCTAAAAGAACAAAAAAGAGTGAATTATTTTAATTTATACAGTTCGTCATTTATATGGTGCACCATGAGCCTAAAGGAAAACATGCAAGGTTAATAATTTTAAATGATTTAAAAAACTTTTTATATGAATTATTTATTAATTTAACTTATTTATATATATTTAAATCCAAAGCAAATTATATCTTTGAGCCAGTAGGTGGCGACAAGTGACTATATTTATGAGTGAATCATTTAAATCATTCACTCAACCGATTTGTTCAATATGAGTGAGTCATTGAATCATTCCAAGAGGGTCTAGCTGCAGCCTTGCACTTGCACTTTCAGACGTGCATTCAGACACTTGCGCTTCCGCTAGCGACGTCACTTGCAGTCTTTTATTTTTTAATTTTTTTGTTCTATTTTTTTATTACTTTTTGTTTGAATCTCTCAAAATTTTACAACAGTAGCCAGGTGGGGAAGACAAGAAAAAATAAACTAAATTACAAAGTCACTTGCAATCGCCACTTGCACTCTCCAAAACCTGCGACGTCACTTGCAATCGACACAAATCGTGCATGTTGCCAATGGAGACAAGACGCTGTGGTGGTGATTAAACGATTAAAACTAATTTTGTATTATAATGTGCAGGGTCCTGCAGGAAAAAGACAAGACCTGCAAATCCGTGGCCACAGAACAGCAGAATATGAACGCAATGCACAAAGTCTCTCGTTAAGTGTTTTCCTCCTGTAGAAAAACAAACACTTAACATGGCATAATGTATTAAGATACATTAAGTTCAATTAAAATATCTAATTCGATATATAGTTATTTAATGTACTACTAGGCAAACAGATGGTTATAAACACAATGCGCAAACTTTCACTTGTCCTCCCATACAGCAAAAGGCTTAATGTTGTATAATAACGGACTATGATAAAGACAATACAGTAGCCTATATGTCTTGTTGTTGACTCAAAGTATATACAGAACAGCAATTATGAACGTGCATTTTGAAATGCATTAAGTGATTTTAAAAGGATCAACTCCATACAGGAAAGCAGACGAGCCCAGAACGCAATGTGTTAAATATTTTCCTCCTATAGAAAATCATTATAAATAAAACACGTAATGTAACTTAATGGACAAAGACTGTCACGGAATGCCAGGAGAAAACAAGGTAAGATCCAGGTGCAGTTTATTAAAGTAACAAATAATCAGAACCGAACAAAAATGTGTCAAAAGGTAATCCAAAACACAAGGAACAGATCACCCGGTGTAACTTTAGACAACATCAAAGATCAGACATGAGATGACAAATACAATACTGCAGCAACGACAGACAGAGTGAGCTTGGTATATATAGATGGGATGATGAGTAAATGGCTAACAGGTGATAATGATCAGAACAGACACGACAGGCAAGGGACTATGGGAAATGGAGTTCAAAACATATAACACTGAAACAGGAGAGCACCCTCAAGTGGCCAGGCCAGGGGACCACAACCAGACACTGTGATATTACCCCCCCCCCTCTACGGAGCGGATACCAGACGCTCCACCAGAAAACATAAAAGTTCAGGAGGGAGGTGGAACTGAGGCGGACCAGGGGGAGGGATGGCGGGCCAGGACCATGCAAAAGAAGGGGGTCAGGGGACAGAGGTAGACCAGGGAATGAGAGCGGAACCGGCAGGGTGGAAAGCCAAGGCGGGGCCGGCAGGACGAACCAGCAGGGCCCCAACCATACAGGAACCCCAGCAGATAGCCAGGACGGAGCCGGAGGAGTGAGCCAGTGAGGCTCCTGCCAAAACAGAACCCAGGCGGGCAACCAGAGCGGAGCGGGAATCCTGTCAGACAACACTGGTGGGACAGAAAACCCTCTCAGCAACTCAGGGAAAACTGAAAACAAGAGCAGAGAGAGTTTAGTACCAGCCTCAACAGGACAAGCCGATTGCTCCGCAACGGTCCCTGTGAGCTCCCGGACTGGAGTGCTTGCCCACTGACTTCAACCCTGGAGATACTTGACGAAGCCCCAGAAGTCTAGGATCTCGAGTCCTTCCACCTCCCACTGGGGCAAAAGATTATCCAGACATATGTTAAGGAGGTCCTTAAGTGCAGCCTCATTATAATTCAGCCCCACCGCCAGCGTCCAAAAGGTCTGGGCAAAACCACCAACCTCCATTCCTTGCTGCCTCCGAGCCATCAGAGTCCGGTATCGATCCATTCCCTGCTCCTTCCCATTTTCAAAAAGGGAAAAAGAAAAACAAACTGCTGGATCTTGTAGTGGCTGCAGTATTCTGTCACGGAATGCCAGGAGAAAACAAGGTAAGATCCAGGTGCAGTTTATTAAAGTAACAAATAATCAGAACAGAACAAAAGCATGGCAAAAGGTAATCCAAAACACAAGGAACAGATAACATGGTGTAACTTTAGACAACATCAAAGATCAGACATGAGATGACAAATACAATACTGCAGCAACGACAGACAGTGAGCATGGTATATATATGCTGTGTCTCATTTAGAAGGCTGCACCCTCCGGAGGTCGCATCCTCTGTAGGATGCATATACGAAGTGTCCTCAACCTAGAATTAAACGAGACGGCCTTCGTAGGACAGGCGGAAAAGGAAACCGGAAGTATCACGTCGCTATGCCAACACATTTAGAGCATCGTTGCGCTCTCACACTACTTAAATGAAGGAAAATTATTTCTAAATTTGGAAAGTAATTTGAAAAAAAAAATGCTTTTACTTGTTATATTTTGTTCAATGTTTGAGGAGCTGCAGCATACATACAGCAGGCATCTATTAGAGAAAAAAAGGAGGGCAAAATTAAAAAAAGTTTATCCGTTTTTGTTGTAAACACCACATCTGCGCTTGTGTGTACGTTACATCTGCCGGCGCCGGCATTTTTCAAATTAACAACGGTTGTTCACGGCGACGCAAAGAATTGTGGGTTATCTGTAGCAGCGAAGGATACACCTCATGCATCCTCCGAATTCCTGTGAAAGAAGGTCGCATTCGAAGGTCGCATTCGGAGTGTCCTACTTGCTTTTCTGAAATGAGACAGCCTCGATGACGTATGCAGCCTTCGAATGCAACCTCCGGAGGACGCAGCCTTCTAAATGAGACACAGCAATAGATGGGATGATGAGTAAATGGCTAACAGGTGATAATGATCAGAACAGACACGACAGGCAAGGGACTATGGGAAATGGAGTTCAAAACATTTAACACTGAAACAGGAGAGCGCCCTCAAGTGGCCAGTCCAGGTCACCACAACCAGACACTGTGACAAAGACAATGATATAAAATAGCTGTAGACAGTTTATTCTATATGGAAAAACGCTTAACGCGAAACTGCATTTATTCTAGGCTCACCTGCTTGCCTGTATATTAGTTATGTATATTAATAATGTAGGGGAGCATATTGAGTTTGGCCTTTTTAGTCCATTATGCCACGTACATTTTGCGGTATGGGAGGAAAATACTATATACATATTCATTCTATTAATAAATTGTATATTTAATTTGATATTTTAATAGCATCTTAATTAAGCCATATTAAGTGTTTATGTTTTTCTACAGGAGGAAAACGCTTAACGAGAGACTTTGCGCATTGCGTTCATATTCTGCTGTTCTGTGGCCACGGATTTGCGGGTCTTGTCTTTTTCTTGCAGGACACTGTATGTTATAGTACTAAATTAGTTGTAATCGTTTAATCACCACCACAGCGTCTTGTCTCCATTGGCAACACGCACGATTTGTGTCGATCGCAAGTGACGTCGCAGGTAGCGGAGAGTGCAAGTGGCGATTGCAAGTGACATTGTAATTTAGTTTCTTTTTTCTTGTCTTCA